CGCCTATTCTGTGCTGCAACTTTGCACAGACCAATAAAATAGACAAATCCCTGGCAATTCAACCAAGAGGCAAAAGGGAATATTACATTCAGTCTGTTCTGGTATAATACAGTGTTGATTTATTTTTTCAAGAATTCACATTATCACAAGTCACATGTGAAACAATAAAATAAATAATTGTTTCCTTGAAATAAGAAGCAAAGACAATTTTTTCAAAAGAAGAATAACGGTAGCTCTTGCCTTATGAAATATTACAATATATTAAAAAGCTATAGGCATTAAATGAGGATGGTCCTGGCACAGGAATAGGCAGATAAATGGATTAAAAATAATTCACAGACAGTGAACTTGAATATAAGAAATATGTATGTGATGAAGAAGACATTTAAGTCAGTGAGGGAAGAAATGAATTAATTAATAAATCATGTTGAGACAGGTGGTTCAGCATCTGTGTCTTATAGGAAAATAAATTCTAGATGGATGAATGCTATTGGAGTATAAGAAACATCACAGGTAAGTGTTTGAGATGGAGCTGTTCCTTCCAAGGATGACATCAAAGTCAGTAATCATAAAGTAAAAGAAGGATAAACATCATCTCATAAAAATTAAACATTTTTGTATGGGAATTTTAAAAAGCTCCTATATAAAAATTTTAAAAAAGGTAAAGGTTAATGTAACTTGGAAACTAATGTTAATATAATTTCATTTTACCCACAGGTTGGTGAGTCCTGTGAACAAAGGTTACATATCTTAATCCATAGAAATTTACTGGAGGCTGGGCACAGTAGTGCACGCCTGTATTCCCAGCATTTTGGGAGGCCAAGACAGGATGGTCACTTGAGGCCAGGAGTTCAAGACCAGCCTTGGCAACATAGTGAGACTCTATATCTATGCAATGACATTTAAAACAATTAACTGGGTGTGGTGGCACACTTCTGTAGTCCTAGCTACTTAGGAGGCTGAGCCAGGAGGATTGCTTACACCTACGAGTTCAAGGCTGCAGTGAGCTATGATCATGCCACTGCACTCCAGCCTGGATGACAGAATGATACCCTGTCTCAAAAAAAAAAAAAAAAAAAAAAAAAGAGAGAGAGAGAGAGAAAGAAAGAAAAATTAAAAAAGAAATATATTGGGGCAATTATCTAGATGGTAAGAATACAGTTGATATATTTTTTCTTTTTTTTTACTTTTAAATTTAGTTTTTGCAATGATCATGTATTCTTTCATTTTATAACCATCAAAAGTAATATAGTTTTCAAAATTGCCTATTCTACTTGAATTTCTTAGAAATTCTTATATCACAAATATGAGATGCTAAGTACAGCTAAAGATCTTATTAAAACAAACCTGATTTTAATTTGGCCAAGAATTCAAAGTATTTTAGGGTTTCCTTATCACTGAGATGTAGCAACTAATATTTTAACATTTTATACATTGGTCCTTCATTGCATATAGAATTTTCTGACAGTTCATATATAGAGTAACGACATTCCATTTCGTGGAGCCACTCACTGTATAATCCGAAATATTGCAATAAGCAAGTGTATTAAACAACTACACAAGTGCCAAAACTATTGTCTTGCATTATATTATTTGCTTTGAACAAAGACCAGCAAATCTATCTACATATTGCATGAGAATAAGGGTCCACAGACTATTTGATAAGAGAATTGTATAATTCTTATATGTGAGAATTATATCTTAAGATACGAATATGAGAATTATATGAAGAATATGAAAATTACATCTTAATAATTATGACACCTAAACCTTATGTTTTACACTTATCTTTACAATGAGAATTTTTTTTTTCTTAAAGAGTATTTGGGATTTTTAAAATTAATAAAATAAATATCGATTACTGACATATTTTCAAATATTTTCTACCTCAAGCAACTTACAATAATCACTATGAAATATCTCCATACAATCTAAATACTAAGAGTGAAAGAGACAGCAATGATGGCAGTTGGCATCACTCTAGACAAATTATTAAAAAGAAAACACTTATTTCAAAGAGAACAGTGTGCTGGAAAGAGGGAGCTGTTCTTTGGAAGCAGACGGCCCCGGGGTTCCACTCAGGATCCCTCACTAATCGTCTTGATGTTCTTGGGTAAATTACAAGGTTCCATGGGTTTGTTTCCACACCCGAAAGACGGGAAGAGTAATGCCTATCATGTGGTCATTATTATTGAGGGGATGTGTTTAAAGGACCAGGTTCATGTTAGTCACTCAAAAAAAAATGGTGACCATTGCTGAGGATGGACAAAAGGATGACACGGTTGCAGTGAGAAGCTCACAGAGAAGGAAATATAACCTTCATGAATTTACTTCCATCTGGGGGTGAGGCCACCAAGCTGCAAACTGGATGATCACAAGGAAGGGGATTTACCCCATTCAAGTTCAGTCAACAGTTAATTGATTTAAGGTAGAATATCTTTCTTTCTAGTGTCTGAAGTAATCATATCCCTCAATCAGGCACTCCCTTCTGTACACTGAAATAACTCAGTTACTGAAAGGAAGATGGACTGAGAACAAAGAGGCAGGGTGCTGAAGGAAGTTTCACCTGGGCCACCATGTGGCCACTGATCCCACTTCACCAGCACAGAGAAACTCAGGACCTCCCAAAGCTGGAGGTCTCTCTGCAGGTTGTACCAGACAAACACTGCTGCCTTTGGAACCTCTGGGCTTTCCTCTCTCAATGTTCAAGACAAACAATCCACCTTCATTCTGCCAACACAATCCTATCCCAGAGAGAGAAATACAAATTTGTATTTCTCTCTCTGGGATAGGATTGTGTTGGCCTCTACTTACTAAGTTACTATCACCTCCAGTCCTTCCCCTACCACTACCTTGCAATAGCAAGATCACCTTGATGCAAGTGTTGGGTGTTTCCTTAGATAGCCAGTCTCATCAAGTGTGACAGAATTATGCCTGGATTACCATAAAGAACTATCCCGATTCCCTTGTTTCCAAGGCCTTGAAGAAACTTCCCTGCTTCCTCATGCAAAACTAAGTAATTGTTACTGTTGTTTTTGTTGATTGCATGGATGGGTGGGTGGGTGGGTGGATGGATGGATGAATCGATGGATGGATGGATGGATGGATGGATGGATGGATGGATGGATGGATGGAAGGAAGGATGGGTGGATGGGTAGATGGGTGCTGGGTGAGTGGATGGATGCATAGATGGATGGATGGATGAAAAATGGATAGTCTTAATCAGAAACATAAGTCAGAATCATAATTCTCAGAATGTAGTATTACTGTGCTGGACATCAGCAATGAATGAGTCCTTGGTATCTTATCTGGTAGCTAGAATGATGAGAAGGACAAAGAAACCTAGATCTTCTGACACATATTGATTATCTAACTTTGGATTCAAGGAATACAAAAGCAAAGTAGTATATAAAGCTTAAAGAGAAGATAAACCATCTAGTCAAAAGTAACCTCTTTGATTCATTCAGCCCTCTTATTAAAAAGGTCACCTTTAGCCAAGAATTCACTGAGATCTTATTACATTTTGGTCTTTTACAGGTACTATATTGAATTGGCTGTACTGTAAGCCAGAGACCAAGCTCTGTCCAAGTTGACCTTGAACAATTCACTCAGCTCTATTAAATGTTTTTAAGCCCCCTCTCAGTAAGAAGAGGGTACTAATTTTAGCCCTCAAGCCTCCCTCAGGAATGCAGTAAGGAAAGAGCAGCAGCATATGGGATACAGTGCAAGCTTCTACAGAGAAGTCTTTCAATGAATTTCGAGGATGAACAGAGAGAAATCAGCAATATTCTTATTCTTATTCAATTGTGCTCAGAGGAAGGAGCATATTGCTTTTCTTCCTCTAAGCACAATTGTCTGGTTAAAGTTAATGGTAAACTGATAAACATGCTAAGCAGATATAGGTCATACTTCTATCTGAAATCAGAATTAACTTGCTGACGATTCACATTTTGGGAATTCATTTAACAGAGTTCTGTTTTCTAGAGAAGAATAGGAAATACAGCCATAAAGCTTCATCTCGTTCTTTAAAAAATCCAAATAATACACACCTAGTATCACCCTGTAAGTCAGCACCACCTTCCCACCCAGCCCTCTGAGCAATGTAACTCTGTGCAGGCAATGTCACTGCAACATGAGGTGAGCAGTAGAAGGTTTTCTTACAAAAAAGCCCAAGAGCAGGCAAAGGCTAGCAGCTGGCCATTAGAATGTGGTCACATTATTCTCCAAACATGCAGAAAGCAACATTCTGCAACCAGTGGGGTCCTAGTGACAGTGACAGAGCTTTCTCCTGGGCTATAATCAATTACAATGCTTAAGTACATTCTGTTTTAAGGAAAAAATAAATAAATAAGCAGCTCTTGTGTGCTTGTTCTCTGTCTCTCTGTCTCTTTTTAGTACAATGGAGACCCAACCAAGTCAAATAATTTAAAAGCCATCTTTGACCAACTGCTTATTCTCACATAACACTTTCAAAATTGTTAAAATAGCAATAAAATAAATGAATCATCTGAAATACACAGTACTGTTCTTCTGCCAGATCATGTTGTTTTATCTCCCTTTTCTCCATATCAAGAAAGAACATATTAGTATTTTCAACTAAACACACACAAAAAACATTCTGTTGAACCTATCTTGTGGAGCCTCTGAGCAAATGCATCCAGCACCTATGCATGGGAGAAACAGCCCTGGAACACTACCTCACCCACCCTGTGGAGTCTTCTTATCCAATTTCTATATATAGCCACCACATTTCACATGCACACAGCTTCCACCCCATACACATGCACACTGTAATCTCATGCTTGCAGAAACTGGAATACTGTAACAATGCCCTGAATTTGAGAAATTCACAGGAAAAACCAAGAGATGGTTTCCTGATTGAATGAAAGGTTGGTTCGGTCGGCAGCAGCAAGCTTCACAGCAGGGCAGGCTCTGCCCAGCTCTCCGGAGTGTGATCTGCATGTCTAATAATGGAATAGGTCCCTGGGATCAGCGCTTACCTTGGAATGCTGCAGGAGAAGTATCTGCTCGTCAAGCTGTTGTCGCTTGCCTTCTATTTCAGTCTGCCTCTTGCGTTTTTCCTTGAAAAGAAAGACAGAGAGGCTGTAAGAGTGGGTGGGTGTTGGCTCCAGAAATTTTAAGGCAGGAAGCAGCAGCAGCAGCACACATCTGTATAGACACTTCCAGAGACACCGGACACACACGCAGCGTCACCTGCCCCACCGTCTCTGGGTGTGTTTCAAAGCAGCAGCATCTCCTAACATGTCTGCTGTGGGCTTGAAGAGTGGGAGAAATTCTCCTCACTCAGCCAGGCTGCAAGAATTTAATCCAAAAGAAAAGCCAGTTTCTACACACACACACACACACACACACACACACACACACACACACAGAGCCATGTTCTGAGCAGTGTTAGTTTGGACACAAAGAATAAAAATGTCTCAATCCAAAAGATAGAGGTCTTTACAAACTGCAAATAGAATAAAACAGTGGGAATTGAATCTAGGATTAGATTTATTTGACTAAAATCATATACATAAATCACCTGATGTCATTTCAAATTGTATGGGACAAATCATCCAGTTGAACATACCAAACAGTGTAAATGAAATGGGTGATCTTTGCTTCAGTTAGCCTTGGGAAGAGCATTTCATGTGGGTGGGGCAGCTGAGGTTATGGTAAATAGGAAGTCTGGAATCTGTCTGCCTGGGTCCAACTCCCAGCTCTCTCACTTGCTACCTGTGTGACCTTTGACAAGTTCTTTTACATTGCTGGGTCTCAGTCTTCTCCCACGTAAAGTGGAGATAATAATGGTACCCAAACCATAGGGCTCAGGTGTGAATTAAATGAGGTGACACATAAAAAGGGCCTAGAACAATGTCTGGCACACAGTAAGAACTCAACCAATGTTATTTGCTATTATTCCTATTGTCATATGTTTACTTCTAGGTAACCTAGAAACTAGTTTTAAAGAGATGTTTTTCCTCTGCATGTCCACCTTAAACTTTCCATTGGTGTGTACCCTTCATATTTTTCTTCTCCATATTTCTCCAGTGCAGAAAATAAACATTATATGAATGTGACTCATAAGAAAAGGAAGGCCTGCTTTTATGATAGCTTCCTTGTTCATGTTTTGTTTCCAAAGGGCACACGAATGGTTTGCTGAGACACTGACTGCACTGGATCATTTTCCTTTATTCGCATAGGCAGGGAGAAACTTGTTTACAGACACAATAGCATTTTATAATACAACATTCAAATCCCAGAGAAGATAATAATGTATAAGCCTGGCTGTTGTGATCTGTGTTAATGGAAACTTGTATTTTACATAGTTGCTGTTTCTGGGGTTATGACTGCACCACTGCTATTCAAATCAATGTAATAATAATTTGTGTTACAACCAAGATTTTTTGCACAATGCCCAGATTTTGAGAAATATTAGCTTATAATCTTGAGCCACTAGAACATGAAATACAAGTCAGGGATATAAGTTCCCTGCCAAGGTAAGATCCATGAATATGTTAGGAACTTACCATTTGCCAAAGAACTCAAAAAGAAATCAAAAAGGTGCATAACTGATGCTACTTAATCCCAGAGTACACCTAAGAACATATAGTATATGACAGTGGATGGGAAAGGTGAGGTCAGTGGGAAAAGCTCAGGTATCCAGCATCTCAGAAGTACCACCTAATAAGGAAAAGGCCTCCAGGATCAGCTGCTATCTCTATATTCTAGAATTTCTCAAGAGTAGGTTTATTGGACTTTATCATCCATTCCCACTATCAACATATATACATTTAAATACAGAACCAAGATATAATATGTCATGGATACAAGATGTTGGTGACTCAGTACTTCCACAAACGTTTAGTGCTGTGTGTTCTAATTACACATCTTGCCATTTCCAAATATTTCCTAGGCTTCCCACACCTATGTGCCTTTGTCCATAAAAAAAAAATTCTCACTCCAGAGTTGCCCATCATCATATTGGTGAACCTATTCTCTGAGCAGAAGAAATCTTACCAGACGGGCCTTTATATGCTCAAGCTATAGACACATTGGTAACCACTGTACACTGATATGATCATGAAGGATGCAGATTTTGAGTTAGTCCTTTAAGAATGGGTAGGATTTAGGTAGATACTGACCAATGGGGAGCACATTCCAGGCAAAGAGAATTGTGTGAGCAAGGTTAGAAATGTACTGCATATTCCAGGGACAATAAGAAAGAAAATCTAACTGGGGTTCAGGGCTTATCTTTAAGACAGAGATCAATGTGATTCAAAAGACTGGTTAGGACTAGCCCACTGAGGCCAAGAAGTTTGAATTTCATTGTCTGGACAATGCAATGTCATTGCAGAGTTGTAAGCAAAAGAATGATATGGTGAAATGGCATTTTAGAAACATTATTCTGGCACTGCTGTATAAGATGGATTAATAGGTGTTGGGACACTTTTCCTGTGGAAAAGTAAATATTTTAGATTTTGTGAGACACATGGTCTCTGTTGCAACTACTCAATGCTGCCATTGTAATTCAAAAGCAGACTAAGGCAATATTTAAATGAACGAGTTCTAATAAAACTTTATGTATAAACAAAGGTGCTTGAATGGCTCAGGTCTGAGCTGTGCTCCTTACCTGGCTAGCCTGCTGTTTCCCAGATTTCTCCTTCCCTTAACCAAGACAAAACCAATAACTCTTGAGTCCTTCACTCTCCTAAACTCTACTACTCTACCTCTCCTTTGAGTTCAAGATTCTCATAGTGAACTGCTAACTGTTTACAGTCACTACCTCAAACTCAACACATGCAATCACCATCTCAGTCATGCCCCAACCCTACCCTCACACCTGCTCCTTTTTCTGTATTCTTCATCTTAGCAAATGACACTGCTCAAGTCAGAAATCTGTCATCCTGATATTCACTTTCTTGAAAGATCATGTCCTGCTGATTCTGCCTGCCATTTTCCACGTCTTTTGCATCCACACTATAACCTTGAGAACTGCCTTAATATTCCCTCCTTTATCTCCCCATGTGCACATGTAGACTATTCTACTTCAGTACCTTTAGCACTCCATAGAACTTAACTGTATCTACCTTATCTCTCTCTGATTACTGTAGTGGTTTCCTTACTGGTCTCCCTGCCCCAAAGTCATGGCTTCTTCAAGTCACCTTCCATACTGCTGTCAGAATGATATTTTAAAGCAAAAATCTGACCACTTCTATCCCTTGCCTAAAACCCCAAATCTGTCCCCATTGCCTACAGTGCAAAAAGCAAGTTCCTTAGCATGGTCAGTGAGGCTCCTATTTATCTCACAGTTTCATCTAAAGCTGTGACCCCCTAATCATATGCTCGAACCTCAACAACTACTTGCAGTTTCCGGATCTTTCAGGTTGGTTCATGTTTTCTTAGTTTTGCTCTCTCTGCTTCCTCTAACCTTCTTCTAACAATAATGAATGTCACTTGCTGCTTCATTTGACACACAACAACAAAAACAACAACAAAAACCAAAAAAACGATTCATCTTTGACAGCGCAGCTTAAATATCAATGAAGCTATAGTGAACACCTGCCAATTTTGATCTCCCCAGTCTTCTTTCTTTTGGGGAACACACCAACTCTCATTGTCAATGGCTCTTGTGGAAATACCAGTTATGGTTAGTCACATATACCCTTAACTCATTCCTGCCACCAGGACTTGCAGGTCCTGGTTAGGTCAGGTTAGGCCAATAATACTACCATATCTCTTTGCAATAGCTGTTGATCCAAGGGACGATTAAGTGAACCAAGCAAGACTGATAAGTGACATTTCTAGGGATAGACACAAGAATACTGGGAGAAACAAACAAAATCTACCACTAAGGTTAAGCTGAGATAATGTACTTCTGAGTAGCAATTTTCCCAAACCACCTGGAAGAAATGCATCTATGTTGGGGAAATGAGATCAACATGCAGAAGGAAACAGGGCTGAATCCTTATACACTGTTTGAGTTCCAGATCTAGTCATGTGTGAAGCCAGAACCATTCTTGGGTTTCCTAAATTATATACACTGATACATTTCCTTTTGCTTAAGCTAGCTTGAGTGATGTTTCCATCACTTACAACTCTAACAGCACTGACAAATACAGAATCCTTTTCCGTTCCCTCCAAATAGATCCACATCACTCTCTCCTTTCTCTTCCCTCTTCATAAGGCTGTGAATTTTTCTACATTTGTACCTTGAGTATGTTAGCACTTTATATGCGTAACTATATACACATCTTTTCCCTCTATCCAACTATGGATGCCTTGAGGACAAGGATCTTGGCCAATGCATCTCTAAAGCCTCAAACATTGTGTGATGCACACGTGGAAAAGACACCTAGTGAGAATTTCCAAATGTACTATCCCTTTTGCTCTCCTCTGATTGTGTTTGCTTGCCCATATTCCTCATTCAAATGCATTATGAATTTGTACTCATGACTTGAATGGTAGAAAAATATATTACTGGAAACACATTAGCCACCAGTCCATAAAACCAGAAGTGTCCTACTATTGAAGATATTAACCCACATGGAATAGATAACTGGTGCTATGCATATGAGAAAAGAGTGAAAAAGCTAATTCTGGGAGAGAGCCATGGAAAACTCATGGGAAAAAAGGCTGGGGAAAGTGGAAATTCCAGGGAAAACCATAATGAGCTGACAGTAGCAAACCACTCAGGAGGAGTGCGCCTCAAGAGACATCTGGAATGAAGTGATCTCAATCCATTAGGAAGATTTCCGGATTCCTCCTCTATCTGGGAGGCCTAGCAAGCCACTTTCATGGTCTTTCTGTAAATTATATATTTTCCTGGCAAGTATTTTGTGAGAGTGTTGCAACATTATGAACACTGTAAACTGTTAGTATAGTAAGGAGCACCGGTAAGAATGGAGCACAGAAGGTGGTTAACAAATATTATTGGAAGACAGGAATGATAAACATCTGTAGTTAGGGAAGCCTATGTCCACCTTCATACTACTTAAGACTCCCTCTTCTTCTCTCCTGCTGACTGTACTGAAACCTGGGCACTGGAGAATGGCAGCTGAAGTTTGTTGGGGGGTGG